TGTTAAATATAAATGGATTAAATTTGGCAACAAAGAGAAAAAGAATATTGGCAAAATTAATTAAACAAAAAGTTGACATAGTATGTTTACAAGAAATGCATATCCAAATAATAGACGAAAAATATTTAGAATGCCCTAAATTAGGGAAACTATATACAGCGTCAGTGGAACCCCCCAAAAAGGAGTAGCCGTATATGTTAAGGAGGAAATAAAAACAAAGTCAATTTTCGTGGATCCTAAAGGAAGAATCCTAATGATGGAAATGTGTGCAAAAACCAGTACTATTAGTAGTAATATATGCACCCAATGAAAATCAACAAGAATCTTATAAAAGATTACATGAGAAAATTATAGAAACAGAACAAAGAAACTTATGCATCAATGCAATAGTAGATTACAAAAAAGACTATAACAGCAAAAAGAAAATTAGAAAGAAAAGTTTACTGCCAAAAACATGCCTTGAAATGATAACGGAACTCAATTTAATAGATATATAGAGACAACTGAATGTAGATAAAAGACAATTCACCTTTTATTCTAATCCACACCTATTGTGGTCCCATATTGATATGGCTTGGATGGATGGAGAAACAGAGAAAGAAGTGGAAGACATAGAAATAATACTGAATACTTGGGCAGACCACAATCCACTTAGAATAACTTGGAGAGGTTTAAAAAAAACCAAGATGAAGATGAACCTTAAATAAACAAATGTTAAAAGATAAAGAATTTACCCTGAAATTTAGAGAAGTAGATCTATTTTTTAATTAAAATACTAGACATCACACATCATTACAAAATCTTTGGGATACCATGAAGGTCTACATACGTGGAATTATAATATTGTATACAGCTAAAAGAAACAAAGAGGTGGAAACAGCAAAATACCTCGCAAGAAGAAAACACCACAAAACACTAAATTTAAGAACAATTGACTTTAACTAAACATAAACTTAATATATTAGAACAGGAAAAAATTATGAAAAACTTAAAAGCAGCCAAACAAACATTTTTTGAGCAAGCAAACAAACTGGGAAGATGGCTTGCCCATAGACTAAAAAAAGAGAGGGAAAAAAGAATAATACATCAATTACAAGATGAAAATGGAGAATAACAGCATACAATGGAAGAGATTTGTATAAAAATGAGGAGGTAGAGGATGAGTAGATAAGAAAATATTTGAGAGAGGAAAGGAGTCCATTAATAGAAGAATGAAGGGAAAGCCTATCTAAAGTGATAACTATGACAGAATTGAAACAAGCAATTAAGAATTAGAAGAAGAATAAAACCCCAGGGACTTCCGGGGGAGATATATAAAATAATGGAAGAACAGATAGAACCACAGATGTTAGATCTATACAATGAAGTCTTCACAGAAGCCAAAATCCCGGATTCATGGAGGATACATATATTTCGTTAATACCAAAGGAGGATACAGACAAAAGATTAATTCAAAACAAAAGACCAATATCATTATTGAATGCCTACAAAATATTTACAACTATAATAGCAAATAGACTTAAAATATTACTAAAAGAATATATCCATCCTGATCAAAATGGATTTTTGCTGTTAAGGCAAATCGGAAATAATACTAGGATTGTATTAGACATTATATATTATTTATATAATTATTATATATTGTTTATAATACATAAAATTATATATTGCAATGTCCTACCTGTCAATGAATACTTCAGCTTTAACCATAACAACACAAGAGCACACAATAGATACAAACTCAAGGTAAACTGCACCAAACTTGATTGCAGGAAATACAACTTCAGCAACAGAGTGGTCAATGTCTGGAATACTCTACCTGACTCTGTAGTTTCTTCCCCAAACCCCAAAAACTTTAACCTTAGACTGTCTACTATTGATCTCACCCCTTTCCTAAGAGGACTGTAGAGGGCATGTATAAGCGCACCAATGTGCCTACCATCCCTGTCCTACTGTTTTTTTTCTTATATGTATCCATTTCATGTATTTATAACTATGTTTATACTTATACCTGTTATCTTGTAAGCGATTGACAAATCAAATCAAATAAATAAATTAAATAAATAAATTTTTGAATATTATGAGGTGCATCCAGAGAAACAAGTGGCACTTGTCTTTCTGGATGTGCAGAAGGCGTTCAATAATTTAAATTGGAAATTTATGATTCAACAAATTCAAACTATGAAATTAGGAGATAAATTCGAGAATATAATAAAAATGATATACTCTACCCAAAGGCAAACATTATACTAAATGATGAAAATACCCACAGTTACAACATAAGGAAAGGAGCAAAGCAAGGCTGTCCTTTATCACCTCTGCTTTTTATTTTGTTCCTAGAAAGCCTTCTTATACGAATTAGACAGAATTCAGAAATAAAAGGAACTAAAGTCAAAAAGGAAGAATACAAATTACAAGCCTTTGCAAATGACCTGATATTTATTATTGAGGATCCCTTAGAGACAGGAAATGAGCTGATTAAAGAATTGGAAAGATATGGGGAAATATCTGATCTTAAAATTAATAGCCAAAAAACTAAACTGTTGACTAAGAATTTGATGGAATTACAGAAAAAAGAATTGGAAAGAATAATAGGACTGCAAGTAATAAAGAAAATTAAATATTTAGGTATCTGGCTGACTGCACAATGCAAAACAATAAAAAAGAATAACTACATGACACTCTTACAGCAAACAAAGATAGATTTAGAACTATGGGCCACATTACAATTATCACTATTAGGAAGAATAGCGGCAATTAAAATGACTATTTTACCTAAAATTTTATACTTATTACAAATGATCCCCATAAAATTAGGGAAAAACTTTTTCAATGAGATGAATAAGAGCATGGCAAAATTTATATGTCTAGGGAAAAAACCTAGAATCAAAATTAAAGCGTTGCAAGACAATAGAAGCAGAGGTGGTTTAGGATTAACAAATTGAGAACTTTATTACAGAGCAGCAGTTCTAATATGGACTAAAGAATGGATTAATCTAAATAACAAATGAATATTAAGTTTAGAGGGCCATTAATTTTTGTGGGATATAGGAACCAAAAAGCAATTATATTTCCACAGACACTTGATCAGAGATTCATTAATATAAAATTGGATTAAAATTAAAAGGAGACACTATATGAAAATTCTGATTTGACTGTCCATGATGGAAGCTATGATACATCCCAATAATTTGGACTTATGTAAAATGTCTAAATATAAAGATGTTTTAGATGAACAGGGAAAATTAAAATTGAATCAGAATTTGCAAAAACAAGGGATACATATTGACTGGTGGCCGTATCTTCAATTACAAACCAGACATAAAAAAGACATAGAAGATTATGGAATATGTATGGAATTACAACAATTGGGAAAGATTTTAATAGGCCCCAATGAAAAAAACATTACAAAAATTTATAAGTATTTATTAGAAGTAGAATTAGAAGAGGAAATTGTTAAGGGATGTATGATAGCTTTGACTCAAAATATAGAACATAACATAAATTTAACAGAATGGGAAAGTATATGGAACCAAAGTTATAAATTAACAAAATCCTCAACATACAAAGAAAATATTTATAGGATGTCCTACAGATGGCATCTACCTCCAGCGAGACTGGCGAAAATACCCCAACATGAATCCGGCATGCTGGAAATGTACTAAGAAACAGGGTATTTTCTATCATATGTGGTGGTCTTGTTCAGAAGCCCAAAAATATTGGCTTAAAATAAAACAATGGTTGCAAGAAATTCTTAAGGTACAAATAGAGTTGGAACCTGAAATATTTCTGTTAGGAATACTCAAAAAGTAATATAAAATAGATAGATAGATAGGTAAGTGGGAGAGAGAGGGGGGGAGGGAGGGAGGGAGGGAGGGAGAGAGAGGGAGAGAGGGAGAGAGAGAGAGAGATGTAGATGTAGATTGTAGATTGTAGATGTAGATGTAGATGTAGATGTAGATGTAGATGTAGATGTAGATGTAGATGTAGATGTAGATGTAGATGTAGATATTATATTACACATCTTAACAGCCACCAGAACATCCTACGCACAATGTTGGAAACACAAGTGTTTACCCCCGATGAACTGATCATTCAAAAAATTATGACCTGTGCTGAAATGGACAAACTGACCCTAATGTTAAATGACAAGGACATACTATAAAATTTGGGGTATGTGGTATAATTGGATAAAATTAAGACAGATAGAAAATGAAGAAATTTAAGATCAACAATTTATTGAAAATTCTATATATTTGCATAATATTGTATATATTTATAAATATGCACAAAAGATGGAAATGTATGAAATGGATGTCACAGAATAGTTAATGTTAAGGTTAAGTTTTTGTTTTGTTTTAAAAGACGTAAAAGACCAATTAAATTTACTTAAAAAGAAAAAAGAAACAGCCTTGAATTGAGTCATGCCCTATTTTACAATGTTTTGGCTGAATCATGTAGTCATCAAATGAATACAGCTACTTCAAATAGCTTTGCTTGCTGAAAGACAAATAGGAAGGGAACAAATGATACTTGGTAGTGGCCGAATGCACAAATTTTGAACATCTGATCATGGGTATGCTGTGATAGTCCTAAATGTTGTAAATCAATTGAATGGTTGGTAAATAAATGGTCATAAATGGAAAACCACCTGTAATGTAATCTCTGTGCAATACGAATTGTAGTAAAATGTTTTCTGTGAATTTGATTATCATCATTATTATTACCCAAAACTTTAATAACTTTATTAAAGTTATTGATAATAACTTTATATTATTAACTCAAAATTGAGGAAGGAGAAAGATGACTTGAAGATACATGCTGGTTAATTTTCCAGGCATCTTCAAAATGAATGTGTTCCTAATGAAATATACTCCTTTAACAATTTCATCAATATAAATGCTTGGAAAACTATTCAGCACAATTTCTACAGTAAAGCACACATAAACATGGAAGTCCACTTGCAATACAGATTACCACCACATTCTAGGGCACATTCACTACTTCCTCTGTCTTCTTAGCTGTCTGTTGTTCAAATCTGGTCTCAGAACAATAATGTAGCATTTGGGAAAAAAGATGCAAATCAGAAGCCCAGCACTTGATGCTAACATTGAAAAGATCTCCACAGCCACCATGTATTTCCCCTTGGTGCTCAGGTAGGTTGGAATGAAGGATATCCAAACACTGCAGAAGACCAACATGCTGAAAGTGATGAACCTGGCTTCATTAAAAGTGTCTGGTAAATTTCTGGCAAAGAAAGCCACTATGAAGCTGATCATGGCCAAGAAGCCCATATAACACTTTGCACAGTAAAACATAATAATGGAACCTTCTTTACATTGTAGGACAATGTTTTCAGTCTCTGAGTACAGGTCAGGATTGGGAATAGGAGGAGAGATGGACAACCATACAGTGCAAATCCCTACCTGAATTAAGAAGCCAGTTAAAACAAAAGTGTAGCCCAGTTTTTTCCCCACCCACTTTTTTATCCCACTTCCTGGCTTTGTTGCTACGAAAGCCAGGACCACAGTCACAGTTTTGGCCAGCACACAGGAAATAGCCACAGAGAAGATGATGCTGAAAGTAGTTTGTCGGAGAATACATGCCACCTTGTTTGGCTGACCAATGAATAGCAATGCACAAAGGAAGCAGAGCAGGAGGGTGATCAGGAGCATGTAGGTAAGATTCTGGTTGCTGGCCTTGACAATGGGAGAGTTGTGATGCATCATAAATATCCTTAGTATGAGAATTGTGATTGTGGAACAGAGAAGAGAAAAACAGGCTAAACTGACTCCCAAAGGTTCTTTATAAGACAAAAAACTTATGTCCTTGGGAATACATGAATCCTGGTTTTTGCTGGGATATTTTTCTTTTGTGCAACTATAGCAGTGATTCATATCTGTAATTGAAAAGGTCTTATCTAAGTCTCAGTGAATGGATAAACCTTAGAAGTATATATATGAATACATAGGAAATTGAAAATAATAACTTTATAGAAAGGACTAGATATAACATGTACTGAAGAAAATTTCACACATCATAGAAAACGTTCATTTAACTGTGGATATGCAAATATCTATTGGAAATCTACATGCTACTAAAATTCTCATATTTAAAAACTTTAACTGGGTGAAACAATGTATCAAAGACAAAAAGTTTGGAACCAATGTACCTCAAATTGGCTAACAGAATGCTTACAAAATCCAAGACCCATGCCTCCAAAACCTTTGGGGAAGTTATGGCTGTTTCACCTGCCAGGCTATTGCTGCAAGCTGTTGCTGTGGTCATGTGATTCTCATTTTAATGGTCTATGACAGTTTCCCAATTATAATCAGAATCAATCCCTCCCTAGCAGCTGCTACTTATCTGCCTGCTAGGAAAGGAAAGAAAGGGATGGGAAGAACAATTAGGAATGAAGGAGGGGAAGGAAGAATAGGGAGGGGAAAATTCCCATATACTTCTGCCAGCACACACACCTCTCCATTTGCCTTTGCAGAACTGTGCCCCCTATGCACTTTCCCCAATCCATTCAACACCTATTGCAGAACCTCATTCACCCTTCCCTACCTGTACCAACTCCACTTGTCTATCCCTGATTCTTACTGCCCCGCTCATGCACTCCCAACTTCTGTCATGTATCTTTCCCTACCTATATCAAACCCTTCTTCCAAGTAAGATATCTGATTCATATGGAATTTCTCACACACCACCAGATATCTTTCACAACCCACTCCCACTCTCCCAAATGCCCTCCTTGACCCATATATCACTTCTCACTTACCTATGACCCTTCCCACATACTCTGTCAACCATCCACATACTTTCTCCGACTGCATAGCATCTCTTGCAAAGGCCTGGGCCATCTTTCTCTGTTTAAATAACTATATATTGGTGCCACTTTTATGTGCCACTTTTAAAAATGGCTAATTTAATATGAAAATCTTGTTTCCTCATATATCCTTTTTTGCTGAAGATGAAAGAAGAGAATATGAATTCCATTCTGGGACTACAACTCATGGATTTCTGGTTTCTAGCCTGGTGTCTTCATCACTACATCAAACTGGTTCTCAGAATAATGAAAACAATAGAAAGATCACATGAAAAACTCAAAGTAGTTGTATACTACCATTGTTAACAATATTATAACTGTATAAGAAGTTAAAGACAATCTTTTTTTAAAAAAATATGTCACTTTATAAGGAATTGACAACAAATGAATAAAATATCCTCACCCTCCTTTTCCGAAATCTTTCCTTCTGGACATGACATGCAAGTGTAACAGCAAAATGGCTCCCCATCCATGACCTGTTTCCTGGACCCTGGATAACAGCTTGGTGTACATAGGGAAACAGGACGTGTCTAACTTATAAATCACAAATAACAAAAAAAAAAAGTGGTAATCTTTGAGCACTGTATTTCTGAATTCTTACTAACTCTCTGCAACATGGCTGTCATGAATTAAAATATATTATGCAATGTTAACTTGAACATCATGGTATAATAGGTATTATTAGGTATAATAGCAACAAAAAAAATTAGAAGTCTAGGTTGATCAATTTAATGTTTGAAAATTATGGCTAATTGTGATTTTATTTCTATACTTCAACTTTCATTTAATATTTCCAATTTAGAGTGCTTCTTAAAACAGTATATATTAGAGACAACACACAGTTTCAGATTAAATTAAAATATATTTTAACTTGAAAAGCATCCTCAGAACAGCCTTAACTGCCTTGTCAATTTTACTGATCATCACTGAGATTCAGTGTTGATATCAAACCGCTTGTTCCTGCAGCCTACCTGATTAAACCAGCTGTGCCATGTTATGGCATCTTCCTTAATGAAGAATGATTGATCTGTAGAAGACTGAGGGTCTATCCTTCCAATTTTTACTTTTGTTATCTTTTTAGAAAGAATAAAATTAATGATATCAAATCCAGCAATTAACTTTCCATCTTGGTCAAAGGAAATCTTGTATCCAACACTGTTATTAAATGTGACCTGTCTTAAAAAGTGATGGAGCTAAATTACAAAGAAAGGACAAATGTTGAGAAAAAAGTTGTAGACTAAAACCATGTGCAGTTGGGAAGCCCCTAGTTCTGCTTTCATTCATTTAAATATTTATTTATTCATTTGAGGTAATTGGCATCTCTTACTTGCATTACTTTTGAGATTTCCCTTCCCATTCTGTCTGTCTTTACTTTTTCTGTTAATATTTTGAATGGTGGCAGTGAAATTCTATCTTTTAAAGCCGTTTTGAATATTGCCCAAAAATATTTTTTTATGATAGCATTAATTACATAAAACGATAGCCTTTGTGTGAGATGATGATATGTATGTGATGGTATCCATTTATCAAGATCAAGCCCTAGACTGCCTCAACAAAGAATCAGGATCAAAGCGCATACATAACTGGAGGTGCTACTGGACTATTTAGCTGACTCCACTTTGCCCCTGTCCTTCTTGCTCCCCTTTCACCTATAGTTTATAATTTAACAGAATAACAAAGTTGGAAGGGACTTTGGAGGTCTTGTACTCCAACCACCTACTCAAGTAGAGAAATGGTTGTCCAATTTATTTTTAAAAACTTCTAGTGTTGGATAATTCATAACTTCTGGAGGCAAGCTGTTCCACTCACTAGTTGTTCTAACTGTCAAGAAATTTCTCCTTAGTTCTAGACTGGTTCATTTTAATTGTTTTATTCCTTTGCTATTATTATGATTATATTTTTTTCATGTTTCCCATTTTATTATTGTAAGCTTCTCAGGGTAGCCCTTTGACTAGCTCCAGTGAAGATAGATGGCAAGTACATTGAACAAATAAATAATAAATAAAAGTATTAGTACCACTATATACTACTTTAGTAAGGCCACACTTGTAATATTGCATCCAGTTTCAGTTACTGTGATACAAAAAAGATACCGAGACTCTTTCTAGAGTGCGATAACTAGAAGGCTGGATGCTAAAATATATGATGAACAGTTGTAAGAGTAGAAAGGAGAAAGAGTAGAAAGGAGAAAGATAGCAGCCCGCATACCTAATGGTGCACGAATCATATAATTATAAACCAAGAATATCAATAAGACATTTAGGGTAAGTTCTCTTGAGATCGTGATTTTATTTTATTTCAAAATGACCGGCTTAGTTCAGTGTAATACTTGTTTTACAGCTATCTTTTGCAGTACTCTTTTCAAACTTGGATACTGTCCCCTTTGTAAAAAAAAGTTACCAGTCTACATGGGCAGATTACCTACCTAGAATCTGTAATCTGTGCTCTCCAAGCAGAAATTAGATGCCCAATGCAGCCATCTATTGAGCTGCCATGCTACCAGCCCCCACTACCACAAAGATCCCACAGGAAAAGGGCAGTATGGACAACCATGGGATCTGGCAGGGTGAGAGCTGTGGACCATAAATGCAAAGCTTCTGCTGTGTCCCAGCATAACAGATACAGTGCCTTTGTTCACCTTAACAGGGACACTAAAGTGACAGGTCAAGGTAGTTGTGATAATGATAACTCAAGTAAGCCAGGGGTCATGGTCCTAGAAGAAGAACTTACTTTGGAAAGGAGAAAGTGTGAACCAGGTATTACGCACCGGTCACAAAAGAAGAGCAAGGCATGCAAAAAGAGAAGCCACCTTCTGGTTGGGGACTCAATTGTAAGGGTGTAAATTTAGGAAAGGATACTGAGGTTTTGAAAGAGGTCAGGTATCTACCAGGTACTACTGCTACACAAGAGACGTATTCTTAAGATAGTCAAGAATGCCAGCAAGGACTGTGATGTTGATGCTATTATACATCTTGGTACAAATGATCTGTCCCAGAAGGGTGTACTTTCTGTTCAGAAAGACTTCCAGAGCTTGAGGTATGAACTTAGTAATATGGGCTGTAGGTTTTTCTGTTCAGAGATTCTACCAGTATACTTGAAATATATATTTGAAATATATTTGAAAGAGTTGATAGAAACACGAATAACATCCTTTGACACCATAGTAGCATCCCTGCACTCTTTAAAAGAAAGATAATGCAAACTTGAAAAAAAGACACAATGCAAAAACCTGAACATCCAATAGCTACAAACCACATCTCTACCCAACAACCACAACCCAGTCCACAACCCAAACCACAAAAAAACATAAATCAGACAAATAATGATATCCCAATCCTCATCAGAGAAGCTGTTGAGCATGAATAGAAACGTCCAAACGCCATCTTATTTGGTCTAGAGGACTTCAATGACAATGATGACATCACAACTATCCGAAACGTGATCAGTGATTATCAAGCATCAACCATCTCCCCTGATGAAATACTTGACATTTCCAACATTGGCCAAGAGCTCAAAAACAGAGATGGCTCTGTGGCCCCACGCTTCTGCAGGGTCATTTGCAAAAATGAATCAAGCAAACGTAAATTCATTTATACTATAAATTTACTTGCCAAAAGCAACACCAACCATAAGAACCTCCATTCTCGCCCTGACCTAACCATACAGCAATATGCCCGCTCCCGTGTACTCCACACTGAACTCAAAAAATGTCTAGACAATGGAGAGAAGGACCTGTACATTGACTACCATGCTGACTGTATCAAAAGTAAGTCACACAACCCGCAACTCAGCTTTAACCTTCAACCACAACCCTACCTCAACCAATCCACCATCACCCAAGACTAAGCACACACGCCCCTAACTACCTTAATTCCAACTACTGCTGGCCTTAAATGCAAGCTGCTCAATGCAAGAAGCCTTGTGAATAAAATACCTGAATTTCTCCTCTTACTAAATATGGCTAAATTCAATATCATATTTGTCTGTGCAACATGACTCAATGCATCTCTCCCTGACTCCATTACCACAGTAAGAGACTATCATGTTTACCGATCAGTTCATGAAATTCGGAGAGGAGGTGGTGTTGCTATCTTCTAGAAAAATTCTTACATCTAAAAAACACCCAGGAGCTTGCTCTTCCGGAGACCATCATCTGTGAACTATCCTTAAATATCACATTTCGATTCTTGCTATGTTACAGAGCACCTGATTATGACATTGAACATGTAAACAAGCTAAATTCACTACTAACATGGGCAACATCCTGCCTACATGCTTTTATCTTTCTTGGTGACTTCAATCTACCTCATATTGACTGGACCCTAAATGAATGTACAACTGAACCCATACATGCAACCTTCTACAATGCTGTTACAAATCTGGGACTGGAACAACTAGAAACCAACAATACTAGACTTAACAACCCATCTTCTGCAATAGTTTGAGTTTAATTTATGGAATGCAAACTAAAGAACCCTTTTCCAACAGTGACCACAACATGATTGACTTTTGTCTCAACATACGCCCACACAAAAATCATCACAATGACGTAATCCCCAATTATAACTTCAAAAAACGCAACTATGATCTTATAGACAACGATCTCTCATCCCTTGATTGGCAATTTCTATTCACTGCATGCAATATTGTAGAAGACCATTAACAACATATTTTTACTTGAAGTCAAAAGAGTAATCAAACTATAAGTATCAACAACATCTCCCCCCCCCAAAAAAAAAAAACAGATTACCAATAACAATAAGGAAACCTCAATCCAAAAAGAGATCACTCTGGCGGAAGAACAAATCTGGTCACGTTGCAAATTTCAAAAGCCGATACAAAAATTTATGCCACCAGATAAAGACTGAATGCACCAATTATCATATTAAACAAGAGAAAAACTTCTATGCAACATTCCACCCACACTTTTTTACAATTTTGTAAACAACAAACTAAAAGACTCAAAGTCCATCCCACCCCGATAGGACCTAATGGTAAAGACTTCAACGACGACACCATTAAACACATTCTTCGGCTCAGGATTTGTAAACAGCAATGGATCATGCCCGGTATTTCCTAGTCAAACCACAGGCAACTACAATGATCCAATACATATCGATTTCACAGAAGACAACGTTGAAAAAGCACTATGCAATCTAAAACCATCTGTATCTATTGGACCAGATGAAATATGTGCCTACTTCTTAAAAAAGCTATCCATTGCCATAGCCGAACCTCTATGCATAATCTTTGAAAAATCTTTCAGGACCAGCTCCTTGCCAAAACTATGGTCACAAGCCACAATCATCCCCATCTTCAAAAAGGGATACCCCAGCCTAGCTGAAAATTACAGACCAATCTCTTTATGCTGCATCACCTGTAAAGTCATGGCATCAATTCTTAACCAATCCATTATCCTCCACTTAGAGACAAACAACCTACTCTCTAATAAACATTTTGGTTTCAGAAAAAAAATTATCCTGTAATCTGCAACTCTTACACTGCAAAAACATATGGACTACACAACTTGATCAGGGCAAAGCAATAGATGCAATCTACATAGACTTCTGTAAAGCCTTTGATTCAGTGGTATACTGGTATACAAACTACTCCCAAAACTAAAATCTTACGGTATCTTTGGACACCTGCATAACTGGATAGAAGCACTTCTGTCAAATAGACAACAAATGGTCAAAATTGGGAGCGTCCTATCAAATTCTGTACCTGTCAATAGTGGTGTCCCCCAAGGCAGTGTTCTAGGACCAACTCTTTTCATACTCTACACAAATGACCTCTGTGATCATATTAAGAGTAACTGTGTTCTCTTCACTGATCATGTAAAGCTATTCAATGCCACAGACAATACTGCTACCCTCCAAAAAGACCTTGACTATGTATCAAATGGTCAGACAAATGGCAACTTCAAATCTCAACAAATAAATGCTCTTACATATTGGCAAAAAAAATCAGAAAATAAAATACAGGCTGAATAGTCAAGACCTTGTTGATGATCCAAACTCTGTCAAGGATCTTGGAGAACTCATCTCTAATGATGAGATGGAAAATCATAATGGAAAATCACTCCAATTTCTGCAGTGGAATTTTCCTTGGAAAGTGGAACTCTAAGGAGGAAAATAGCTGTGATTAACGATCTGGAATTACTACCAGATTTAGTTGGAAGTAAATGACAGAT